ATTAGTCACTATCACTCATCTGGAACGGCTTTATTAACAATACACAAGGGAAGCAAATGCTCAAGACAATAGTAAGATAATACTTTATTTAATAGAGGCACACTTCATTGTTTCGACATAAAGTCATAGTTGGTACATCGATTCCCATGAAAGCGTTTATAATACCTATTAACATGCTTTGTTGTAATGCTTCAGGGGTTTTGMGGCAAAGAGACTTCGCTAGCCCAAATGCCATTTCAATTGGATTTCAATCAAAGTCRTAGCTATATGCAGGTAGTTTAACAAAAGTTATGTTCTTATTGGCAAGGATTCTGGCTAAATTAGCTTCATTGTGTGTGCTGGGATTGTAACATACAAATAAACGTATTCCATGGTACAGGAGGAAGAAGTTGATTTTCGATGACTTCATTTATTAAGATAGTATTGAAGTTCTTTTCAACAGAAATGGCTTGAATCAAGCCTTCGGTGTACCCACATAAAACAACCACTGAATATTTTGGTATGGCCGGAGATTTGCTTCGGGATGAAGCCAAAGGGAATCCAGATTCTGCGCGCCCATATTCGCGTTGATCAGTCTCTGATGTAAATGTTTCATCAAAAAAAATATATCCTTGATGGATCAATGGTCAAACTCAACGTATATATTCTCGACGGCATTGTAAAACATAAGGCGTATATCGTTCTTTGGCAACGTGAATGCATTTTTTTCTTGTTACGTTAAGCGTTCTTATGATACCCTGGACAGCAGAGCAAGACGGTAGTTGATTTTGATGGAGGTTGAAATCTTGTGCGATCATTTGGATACATTCGTGTAAATACATGGCTGGATATATAGTAATAAGGGCCTCAATGTAAACTTCCATCCAAATCGGAATAGAATGTGGCCTTCCTTTGTTAAACGTACGAGGATCGTATCATGCATTTCGATGGAACTGGGACACCAATTTTGCCACGCAGTTATAGGATACTTTTTCTATCCTCGAAGTTTGAGCGAGAGAACCTGTGTTAATGTAGGCCAGGATGATTTGCACTCTTCTGGAACGGATATGCAGCTCCATTTTCCAATACACTTCCTTTGACATTAATTTTCCAAGACATAGCTAGAATGCCGCGACTTCGTCTTTCAGTTTCTTTACATAATGACCCAATGGAATTCAGCTTATATTTAATCCAATCTTAAAAGACACGCTTTTTTCGTTAAGCGTTATTCATCCTCTTTTGCATGCACTTTCGGAACAAAGGGTTTACTTTCATGGGAATAAAACTGGCCGCTGTGTGATATAACTCCATGCCRTTTCATTCATATGGTAAGCACCTGGTTGCCTGAAACAACAAGTGATTTAAACCTGACTTCCAGTTACTTGTCTTGATGTAAGTACTGAAGAAGCTATGGCTTCGAGAACCGGCATGAAATGCAAGCTTCATGGGAAGTATAGCATATTAAGAGGTTACAACAGAAACTGCCCGTATCAACATTGCTGCTGTAAACTTTGTACTTTGCAAGCGAAGCAAAAGGAACTTCGTGAGGAGAACAATCCTACTAGTTCTGTCGGAAATATTAGGACATTTGTCTCTCCAGCATCCACTCTATCTTTGCCGCTCGAAAGCAGCATGGCCGGCGGGAAAGCAGTACCTTTTCCTGAAATGTCTGCTCAAGATTGGTACAACTGGCAAATTTAGAGACCGAAAACTGGAATATTCGAAAAAGCCGCACTGCAGCTGAAAAACGACAAGGTATAGCTACTGTTACAGTAAGAAGTCGCTGATGCAATGAAGAGTACTTAATTCAGACAAAAAAACTCACAAAAAGGCATTTTTATCTTGCAGAGGAAAGACAAAGGAGAATTGAGCAACACCGGGAACGTTAAAACAGAGTAAACACCTTTTCATCGGATATTATAAAGGCAGACGCAAACATTCGCCTTTGCAGGTTTTGAAAATGTCAATCCAACTTCATCAGCAAAGTGAGGCGAAAGAACAGGATYGTAGTGTCTGGGATACCTGTGGTTAATATTATCATGTTGGGATCCCTGTGTGTAAAAGAGAGGACCGCCATTAAAAGCACGTTGCGACAACGTTCTCTGTGTGTTAGTAGTCTTTCAAATCCGGTTCAATCCGAAAAGAAATACGACAAGGATAAAAACTCCAAAAAATAACTCTTAATGATGCCSAGCCTGCCCCATTCACTTCCAAAGCAGAACAGCGTGGAGGCTTCATTCACAGATAATATAGTAGAGCTTACAGATATATGTCCTGATATAGACGTGACCAGAATTGCAACAATGTTGAAGGAAGAGAATCTACCTCGCGGGAGTCG